AACTGTCAAACGCAGCTGCTAAGAGGTCCTTACATTTATAGACAACTTTAAAACAACAAATTAGCCGTGACTTTTAGCGTTCTGTTTGCTTGGATTCCACTTTAGTTAGACTTGGACTGAGGCAAAAAGTTTTCCGTGTGTAAACCTCAATAATTACAACACACAGAACAACAGCCGCAAAATATGCTTTATGTTATTTTGTGATAAACATCTTAATTACTAAAACTCCTAAAACACTATTTCACATTTCTGCGTTTTACTCGCTAATACCAAAAGAGTGTTTAAAATCATATTAGTGTTGGTGTGAAAGTTTTATTTCTACCATTTTAATGATTTTTGTTTTTTTGTATATATAGTATATACGTATATGAATTTGTTCTATAATTCTATGGCTACTGTTTATGTACAATAACGTAAACGACAGTGAAGGAACTTAATTAACTTGCGATTGTTAGCATTACACATAGACATACATCCGAAAGTTCACGTTTAGTATACTTAGTACGAAAATTGGTGAACAAAAACTGGTTCCTTATCCATCGCGTCGCTATAGAACCACATCATCGCACAGACACATAAACCACGTTATAAACCACTTAAATTGTTTTTTAGTTTTGTGGGGTAAACGGAGAGCAATGTATAGAGTAAATGGAGCAAGGTATATCTACAATTTTAAAATTGGTTATCGAGATAAAGTGAGTATAAAAAACTACACTTTAACCGCAATAATGGCTATAAAACAAATAATTAAAACACTGACAATTAAAAATACCAATGAATTTTAAACTATTAATATAAAGTTTAGAGAATACAATAAACATGAAAAAGCCACAGAGCATTTCTCCATGGACATGGTGAACATGGTACTTATATATTTTATGTGGTTAAAACAAGATTAATGTAGTGTTCGATTGGGAAGTCTAGGACAACTTTTACAAACTAGATTTACTCTTAGTATAGTTTTGGTTAATCTCAGGCATAAAGTATAACGCTCGAGAATAATTTATAACACTCTAGATATTTTGTCAGATTAATAAAACCAACCTGAAACTAACAGCTGTTTTATGTCATTTAACAATTGATATGTAATTCTAATTTCTAATTAATTTTAATTAAAAATTAATTTAAAATAATATAGCAAGAGAAGCTAAAAATGAACACAATAATAAACTAAGCGTTACTAACTTGTCAACGTTACTGACTTGTGTAGCTGTCAAATCACTCTTGGAATTACCCGAAACATAAAGTCCTGTATATTTATTGTTGCAAAAGGATATTTGGCGAATAATTCGGGACCCGTCCCTATATTATACATTGGATGTACATGCGCATTGTACGTCTAATATTCACTTATGATGCAGTAGTTTAAGTGGCAGCTCTGAACAAGAGCTATATTATTGAAGACCTCGGCAGAATTTAGGTTAAAGCATATGTTAGTGTTACAGAACTTTTTAAAACTGCCCCTTCCGATGTCATAAATGTAATGCTATATCTGCTACCTATTGACCTTCATATTATAAATGTAACAATAGCAATATCTGTAAAAGTCCTGTCAGCCTGAAAGCAACAGACGTTTAGATAAAAAGTACAAGCGTATATAGCTGAATTTTAGATACGTTTACATACTGTCTGTATGGGATGACATCGGAATTTCTGAACACAAAACGGATTATGCTTTGAAAGAAATTTTCATATATAAATCACTGCTTAAGGTAAAGGTAACCTTAAGCAGTGATAGGAACATAGTTTTTCAAGTTGCAGTCTTTCAGTGATTAAGACAGATGCAGTGTTGCCGTTTGTATTTACAGCTAGGTAGCAATTAAACCCCTTCAATTCTTCATCATAAAGTCATCACTCTAGTTAAGCTAGCTAACTAACATCACTCTTATCTGGGTTCCTGGGCATGGAAATATTGAAGGCAATGAGAAAGTAGATGATTGGACCGGTTTTTATGTTTTTCCAGATGTATGCTTAAGGGTACCGACTTAAGTTTCTCTGGAGATTATTAACAAGAGACTAACCTCCAATTTTTACAGCTTGCCAATAACAAACGGAAGACACCTTAATCATGTGTAACATGGCCCACCTATAATGAAACCAGATCTTAAGAATTAATCGAAAAGGATCGTGTAAACATTGCAAGGCTTACTGCAGTCTCTTCTGATCACTGGCGTTTAGGAACCCACGCAGAAAATCTGTGCTTATTTTTTAATACTCATCGCAGAAGTTGTGAGAAGTTACAGGAAAAATAAACTATTGAGCGATTTTTTAGTGAACGCCCAACTCTGGTTTCCAGTAGAAATGTATGTTTTAAGAGAAATATTTTTTAATGCTTTCCGGACTGTTCAACGATATAGACGAAAAATTATCTCAATTCGATGAGATAAATTAGGTTTGTCTTTTTATATTTTAATATTTCTTGGAAGGAATGTCGGAGCAAAGGAAGTTAGCGGAAAGTTATCTGCTAACCGCTGCCAGTACAACCAACCCCAAAAATGTTCGATTGGGCTACAAAATTGGAGTAAAAATGTCAGATCGAAAGCGAATCGGATTCGCCAATTGAAAAAGATTTAAGATTAATTATATTAACATAACTGTAGTTAACTATATTAATTAATTCAATGTGATCGCTTATCTAATTAAGTGTTTGTTTGGTCGTTGCCACAAAGCCAGGCGTGTATTCTTAACAACTCTGTCCGTAGAGAATGAAAGAGTTAGCGAAACCAAACATACATTTTTTATTCGTATTTATTTATTTATTTAATTTTGAATAAAGTAAACGGATATAAAAATATGAAATTGTTTAGTGCACATTATTTGAGTTATTTTACCCTTTGCTCACATTATTCATGCTCGTGCCGGTGCCGGTGCCGTTGTTGCTGCAGCATTTGCACCGGAAGTGCATCGATTTACAAAAACAATGACAGCGCTGCTTGCACATTTGAGTGAATACATAACTGAATACAAAACGCTGAGTTCATAACCGAGAAGAGTGGAAAGCGAGCGAAAGCAGGGTATGAGGCGCTACAAAAAACGGTACACACGCAACAACGGCGGCGCACCGGAAATAAAGCTCGACGTTTACTTGCCTTTACCACTGCATTTGTTGGCATCGCATTGTGCAAACGTAATTTTACTCGTACAGTTACGTTTAAGCTGAGCTTTTCGAATAAATCTAAAATAGAAGGCATTGGCAGTTTTTATTTATTTAGTTATTTTGGTCCCTCATCATTCCACTTTTTTTTTGAATTTCTTTATTCTATTTCGATTTTTACCCCACGTCTTTTCTGTTTGTACTCGTAGCATTTTTATTTAATATATCAGTCTTGCGAGGGTCGTTTGTCTTCCACTGATCCATATTGAAGCTGATATAAGCGCGCAAGCCAGCATAAAAATATGTGGCGATGTTGCTTGTTTTTGAATTGCCGGAAATTGATTTTTCTGTTATTTTAAAATAAAAGTATATTTTTCTTTTAGAAGTACGCAAAACTGAAAAATATACAATATTTAAAATCCACACCAAAAATAAGAAATATTTTAGATAGATTTAATCCACTGAATTATATACGACTATACTTATGATGACAAAAGTGAATATTTTTGGCACAAAAAAAAATAATTGTCAATCAAACAAAATAAATCAAATTCGACTGATTAAAATATAATAATTTCTAGAGAGGTGTCGAAGAGTAGTCAATTGCAACAACAAAATTTTTTATTAATTTTAATTAATTGAACTTTTGGCCGACAATATAGCTGTTTAGAACTGATATTATCGATTTGTTGAAAGCTATACTCAAGTCTAGTATAACTTTGGGTCAGTTCGTTAATGAATACAGACTCTGAGCTTCAAATTTGGCAAGGCACGAGGTCAGCTCTTGGTACATGCATTCTCAAAAAATTATTTACAAATAATTACATATAAGAAATTATTTCCCAAATACCACTAATGATGGGTACTTGGGTATACTCGAAATAGCTGTGTGGTTACCCAAATACTTGATATATTAAAAATAATAAAATTTTGTTGTTGCAATTCACTACTGTACAAAACCTCTCCATTAAATACAATAGTTTCTGTTAAATGAAATAGTCATTCTCGTCACAGATCACGTTAAAATTACATAAAATATAATAATTTATGTCACATTATCAGTTTATTTGGACTTTTAATGATTATGTGTCTTCTTCCTCTAGATGCTTAACACGTATTTAAAGTAAATTGAATTTTTCTATTTAAAATGTATAATTTCAAAAATATTTAAACAGTAATTATAATAAATTTCTATAAATTTTCGAAAGTAGCAACTCTCAAATTATACTCGAATAAATAACGAGTCGATGAATCTAAAAGTTGTTTGGAGGTGCTGAGGCGATATATGTGTTGGTATATAAAAATGGAAACTTATTTCCATTTTTTCCACTATTTCCACTATTTCACCCTAAATTCGAAACGGGAATCAACTGGGTGAATAGCAGCCGGCGAACCTCACTCGAATCAGTAAAAAACGCTACAAACAGAAGTCCAGAGTTATTTAACGTGATTACCAGCCGTGAAGCCTTAACACCACGATACTCTTAATACACGTATCAATGTAATGCGTTGATAACCGCCCCATTTAAACTTGAGGCAATTCCACCGATACGAATTGACGTTCTACGTTTGCATATAGCTTCTTCATTGTTGAGGAAACCCAACTGACAGCTGGCAAGATTATGATGTTCACATTTTGAGATTCGTATGGAATGCATTGTTCATTGACTATATTAGATAATATTATTGTATAGACTAAGGAACCTGTTACTAACTGCAGACATGAAAAAATACTAACCAAAAAAGCATTAAAATAAAAATAAAAATTTAAGTTGTATTATTCTTAAGTGATTTTAGTGTTTAATTCCAACTAAAATCTAAGTTCTCAAAAAATATATTTCTTTTCAAAAATTGTTTCCAACTGTATATCTTAATTTCTCTTGTTTAAATAATTTTGATTACATTATTAGTATCTTTCTTTTGGTTTAAATGGTGATATTGTGACTCTACGAGTATGACCTTTCTTTGATCTAAATTCTAAGTGAGGTGCTTTTAGTGCAGAGTGGTGTACTTTTTTACCGCCTGCCTCCCCATGCGGCTTAGGATAACCTTTTCCGAAAAGGGCTGATTGAGTTGCTGTTAGAATGACATCGGGATCAGCTAATATTTCTTGTATTCTTATGTTTTCTATGAGATCACCACCCAATGGCAAGACACTTCCCTCACAATAATTAATTTCTTCTTCTTCTTTTTTCTTGGGCTTACGTTTGGGTACAGGTTCATCATCTGGTATATATCGGACTTCCGGAGTTATCGGACCTCCACATGAAAGGCATTTCTCGTAAAGATCATCCCATCTTATTCGAGGTGGACATTTCAATAATTCATCAAAAAGTTTTTTCAATCGGTCTTCGTATTCCTTAAGACGTTCCCAAAAATAGTGTTGTATTTGTGGGAAATGAATTTTATCGCATTTAGCAAACAGCATACCTTGCATTTCTTCTAATGCTTTGTCTAATGTTTCTATATTTCTATTAAGTAATCTCCATGCAGCCTGATACTCATAAATTAGTGATTCTATCGCTTCAGCTTCTTTATTGCAATACTTCATTTGATTGTGAAGATTTCTAATCAAAGTATGGTGCTTTTTATTTTGCTTTTTAACTATACTAAGTCGTTCCATTAATGGTCCGCCAATAATATTTGTAACGGCAGTAAGAAATGTTTTATTTGATAGTAACTCTCTTACTGGTGCATTTTCCGGATCTTTTGAATCAAATATGTCCGCAAAAGCACAAGCATGTCTTTCATAAATCTCCCAAATGTAGGGTGGTGTCGCCATACTAACCATATGCACTTTAAGTTCATATTCCTTGAGTTCATTCTCTAATCTTTTTATTTCATTTTCCATTATATTAACTTTCATTTGAAGATTTTCAAATCTTAGTATTGGAGAGAAGTTAAATTCATCTACTCTAACTTTTGTAACACGTGAATTAGTTGTAAGTATATCTTCTAAGCAGGTTGCACGGAGTCCTTCAACGGTTACTACGTCCTCTATACAGCTCATTTTCCTGAATAGTGTTTCGATCAAACACTGTAATATGGAAATATGAAAAGTATCAAATGTGGGAGAAGAGAGTGCCAGTGAAGCTAATTCGGACAAAGTAAACTCCTTTCCTACAGACATGTTGGAAAATGTATATTTTTGGTGAATAAAATTTTTTTTTAAAAAATCTAGATTATATATTTTACTAATGTTTTAATTTTGATGTGTGATTGATAAAGAAATATTTTAAAAACTATATACTAGATTAAAAAAAAATTTTCATTTAAATACGTTGATATTTTATTTCTCTGAAACTAAGTTTTGAAGATAATGATATATAGTGATAATGATATCCAGCTTCATAAAAGACCTTATTTAATCTTTTAAAAACTGTGCTAAATAGTTTTGGCAATTTTAGTATTCATATTTTATAATGTATAATTTTAATTTATAATTTACTCGGTCCTACATCACTGCATTCAAAGTTTTCTACCCTGTGTATAGTACCATTTAGTAGACTTGGTACTAAATGATATAGCTCAGATATGAAAACTTCACAAATTAAATTTTCTTGGTCGCGACAAGAATTCTCTCTGAAATGTTTAAAAGTAATTTAAATATGCCCAGGGTCATCCATGTGGAACCATATGCTGGATCCATAAAAATTCCTTCGTAATAATAGATGAATGATGTGTACTTTCTGTCAAAATTTAAAATATTTATTTACAATCCGTGTATAATATATTTTTAGTTTAATAAATTATATACGAATTATAAACTAATTAATTGAAAATTCGAATAGTTCCTGAACAATGATGTTCAGTACAATCTATATGTTCCTAGCGCTTAACTTATGACCTAATTCTTGATTTTTTGTTGATTCCTCAACAGTTCCTAAGTTCACTCATGATGAGTATTTAGCTATACTCGAAACTCTTTTGTATGGTCAACCAAATTTCAATAAATTAATCAAATTTTTGTTGTTATTTCTTCATTACTTTTCGAACCCTTCTCGTTTTTTTCTCGTCATAAGACGATGTCTGTATGTAACACTATTGAGGCTTACATGTGTACAATATAACGGGTAGTCACATCTACAATATCAGATCTTGACGTAAAAGTAGTAGACAACTGCTAGAATTTCATTTATATGTGGATTTAGTGAGGTGATACCTACTCAAACTTAAATGTCGAATTTAATTTTAGGGCGAGTCCCCCCTTATTCGATTTTTTTTTTGAAAAGTTAAACTTAAGAAGTACTAAGGCGTTAACTGTTTTTTTCAGTGTTGTGGCAATTCATGCAAATAAACTTAATAAGTAAAAGCTTATGGCAAGTGTGTTTAATTTGTAAAGGATGATCGAATTAAAATGTCTGCTAAAAGTAACTGTTTACTTCGCAGTTGTAAGGATAACAGCTTTATTTTCGAGCATTTTAAGAACTTCAGTAGCTACTCACGTCCTTTACTGCGCTCTGCTAATCTTCAATGAAATTGTTAGCGCTTCTGTACACAAGCATTTTGGGCGTTGTTGCGCAAGGGACGTGGACGTGGAAGTGGAAGTGTTAGCATATAATATTGTAGAATAAAATGAAGTTTGTGTTAAGGATTAAAAACTTTTTAAAGTTTTAAGTTAAATGAAAATTTTTCATTACTTTATGTTGATGTTGGTAGATGTCGATTTGCAGCCAAGGAATACTCAGTGGACAGATTGGCTACTAATGGTTTAAAACGATATATTCTTATGTACCTACAGCAGTGCTATGCTTCGGTTGAAAACTTCTAAGTTTTAAGCCTATTGCACTTAGTTTCTAAGATTGCATTAATTTTCCAAGACAAATATTTGTTTTAGTTCTCGATAATAATTAAGAATCAGTTTTTGCAAATAAAGAAAAAAACGTATTTAATGAAATTACTCTTTTGGTATTTGGGCTTAGTTTCGTCTTATTTCCTTTCCATAAATCAACTTAATATTTAAAATAAAGAACAAAATTAAATAAATCAAATATAGTATTATATTCTACTACATCACAATATAAATTAATTCAATTCATTTGTAAAGGCACATATGTTATAAAGAAATATAATTTTAATCTCTCAATTCATTCAAGGATTGAATGACTTGAAAGCATCATCTAATATCTAAATATCAAATTTGAATTTATGTATTGAAAGCTAAATTTTTTAATTAAGAAATTTGATAAAACAATGACAAAAAAATTGCAATGTATCTTGTATCTCAAGTCGAGTTATTTTTTGTGTAATGGTTGCACTGCCACTAACAAATGCGCTTATTATACTATAGTAATACATACCTTCTGCTTAAAAAGTACTCGGATTTTGTAAATAAAACACACAAATTTAAATTTTATTCCAAATTTATTTTATCTTCTTCAAAATATGATCCTTCTGAAGCGAAACACATATGCCAAAGCTTAACCCAATCTTCCATACACTTTTCGTAGGCCCGTGAAGGTATGGCTTTTAGTTCCTTCAGCGAATTCTCTTTTACCGATTCAATCGAATCAAAACCTTATTTGCTTACCACGAAGGGGCAATTTGAGTTTCGGGAACAAGAAAAAGTCGCACGGTTCCAGATCTGGCGAATATGGTGCCTGAGCGATGACAGTGGTGCCGGTGCGGTGTTTGGTCAAAAAATCGCGTACAACGAGAATTTTCCATAGTAGAAATCGCTAAATGCACTTGTGGTGGTCTTACATTAACAGCTGCTGTAAACAAACTAATTGACAGATGGTGCTCAAATTTGTACCATATTTCAAGACATTTATTAGTACATTGGAGACTCTTTGTGTAGCAAAACGTCGGACTAAGAAGAGACTAAGGAGCAAAATTTAAGTTAAAAACAGAGTTAAGGGAAGGAAGAACGAAACATCCAAAATATTAAGAGAGTGTTAAGCGATAATACTATATTTCAACCAAGAGATATTGGATGGCACAAAAGCATTCGGGAAGGTAAAGAAAATAATGAAGATGGTATAGTACTAAAACAATATGAAAAATATAAAAAAATAAACATTTTGGCTTATTAATAGAAAAAATTATCATTAGAAGAGTTGCTGAAGAAATAAGAATATCATACGGTTCATACAAAGGAATTTAAAAAAAATATTTCAGACCAGAAATAAATACCAACAAAATTCAAAAATTTATAAAACTGCTAACACATTCTTCTCCATATTTAACATCCTATGACTCTTTTCTATAGCTCAAACTCTAAATGAAACTTACAGACTAATATGATCCAAAAATGATAAATTAAGGACGAATTCGCAGATTGTGAATAAGACCATACCTAATAGCATTACTTCCAAACTAAAATCTGCATAACATCAAAGTACATATTACTTTAAAGAGGATTGAATAAAGATTGGAAAAAAAATAAAAAATTTAAAATAAATGGAGTTTTTCATTACTTTTAGATCCTATTTTGCTTAACAAGGCTATATTTCAACAACATTCTATTGGTACAACAGATTATTTTACTTAACTTGAATGAAAAGTACATTTCCAAAAAAACTATTATATTTTGATCAAGTCCTGACTTAAAAATGGCTTCATTATTTTGTCGAAGAAAGAGATGGACAATTATTTACCAATTAAAATAGTAGTTATCGTAATTTGATCGAATTTGAGTTACTTCATTACATATCCAATAGTTTTCAAAGAGATATAAACATGATAAATCGAAATGATATGATATATGAAAATGCTGTATGTGGTGAACATTTTCTTTATTGAAAATTAATTTCAATGAAATTTATGTTGACCATTATTATTTATGACCTTTCGCCATTTTGAAGATAACGTTATAATTCCAATGGTGTAGAAGTTCTGTGGTTTATTGGCGAAAAACTGGACCAAATAATTTTCAGCGGCTTTTCGGTCAACCAATTTCTTACCATTAATAGCATTTTGCAAAGATCAAAACAAATTGTTGTCAGATGGTACAAGACCCGGGCTATATCTACTAAATTCTGTCAATTTGTTTTGAGTCATCAAAGATGTGTATGGCTTCACATTGTCACAACTCATTTTCTGTAGGCCAATACTGAACTTATAGGTTTTCGGAAAAATAAAAAAAAAGGGAAGTATTATGCTCTTAGGCAAAGCTCTGCAAAATGGTTTTACAATTCTCAACAATTTATTTCGATATGAATTTAAAATCATTTAAGTTCCTGGATAATATAGACTAAATATACATATTACCCTTGGCTCAAATAAAATTTTAAAAAATGCGCTATTTCTAATTTTGAACATCGCTTACCTTTTTCGTAAAAACCGATATCATAGAAACGATATTGATTTGGGTTTGTATTCTATTTTATTCGTAAATTAAATTGATTTTTAATATCCTCATGGAAATGAGGTGACGGTCATGTGGGTTAAAGGAAACATCGTTATTAAGCAAAACGAGAAGGCAGATGAACTTGCAAAGCAAGCATCAAGCCATAATTTCTGTTGCCCAGAGCCCATAATACCATTGAGTTACAACATGATGGTAGTCTATGTCCATAAGTGCATAACCTCACTTCAACTCAATAGATGGAGAGAGTTGAGCACTTGTAGACAGACCAAACTCATGTTGCCAAAACCGTGGGCCAGGGAAGCGATAAAAGTGCTTAGCTATTCGCGGAGGTTTTTATTCGCGGAGCTTAGCTATTCGCGGAGGTAGTGAAATTGCAACAACAAAAAATTTTTTTAATTATTTTTAATTAATTGAATTCGATTATTGCCAAATCCCATCATCAGTTTTTTGCGAATTATTTCTAATATTTAAATAATTAATAAATATATTTTTTTTGTTAGAGACAGCAAATACCAAGAGTTGAACTCGTGCCCTGCTAAATTTCAAGCTCAGAGTCAGAGTCGTGACTGTAATGTTTGAACTTGGAGTGTTGTTAACTTGCTCTGAAAGTTTATCAACAAATGTACCTACGTTTTTTATTAAAATGAAATCACAATTAAATTCGTAAAGAAATTACTAAAAAAATTCTCACATATGTATAACCGAATTGTCTTTTTGTCGTTCATTTATTATTTTATCATTCAATGAAATGGTATTGTCCATATTATAGTATTTTACTGATATCAGACATTTGGTTCAATATTTAAAATTGAAATAAA